CTAAATAAGCTAAACCCCCCTCCCTTACCTTATTTAGGCCATATGTGACCTAAATAAGCACTCACTTTTAAAAAAGATTTTTAAAATGGGGCTTGATTTTACTTTATATATATATAAATAATGTGCTGGCTCACAAAGATCCATGATATATGAAACCACTTTAAAATGTTTCTTCATGAATCTTGTTAATGTGTTTTTATTTTTATTACAAATTTCTGATCTTTGTCACGTAGGCAGAAAAGGTTTGGTCTCAACAAAATCTGAGTGGGTGGCATGGAAAACTTGGTCATCGACGTCATCATCAAGTTTGGAGGGAGTGCAATCACAGACAAGAACAGCCTCGAAACATTGCTGCCATGGCAACTGGAGCAGGCGGCGAAGCACGTCAAGAGGTGTACGGACGCCGGTCTCACCTGTGTCATTGTGCACGGGGCTGGGTGAGTCAACACTTAAATATACTAATACTTCTTCTTCTTCTGTCCCGTGGTTGGGGCAACCGTGGGGGCACCTCTGCATCTGACAACCAGCTCTCGCCTTTTCTCTTTGTCCTCTGCTTTCCTCAGATTGTCACCCATCGTCTTTCCTGTCCATTCTGTAATGTTGTCCTTCCATCTCCTTCTCTGCCTTCCTCTCTTTCTCTTTCGTTGTAAGGTTCCTTGTAGGATTGTTTTGGCAAGTCCTGTGGATCTTGTGACATGCCCATACCATTTTAATTTTCGTCTCTTCACTGTGGTCAGTAGATCTTCATACTACTAAAACTACTAATAATAAATAACATTTGTATAGCGCATATCCCCAATCATTGTGGATCGATAGTAACATCCCTTCTCAACAGCAAGTTCTACTCACGCTTTGCACTATATTAATTCCCCACCAGACCATAGAACATTCAGAAACAGTGTCAGCTTCCCGGAAAGCATACTGTGCAAGAAGCTAATTAGGTGCTTGAACACTAACAAACTGACAAGATAGATTTTACTGTCTTTAGCTGGGCACCCATTTCCGCCTGGGTGAAGTGAAGAAAATTTGTGTAAAGTGCCTTTCCCAAGGACACAACGTTGGGCCCATGGCGGTATTTGAACCGACGACCTTACGGTTGTGAGTCTGAGAGCCTAACCAGTAGGCCACTGACACCACAGGCTGTCTCTCTCTGTGTTTTCTCAGTTGCTCCGCTTGTTGGTGATGCAACGTTGTGATTATTTTTATGCTCTTGGTTTGGTGGGTGGTTGGCGGGTGATCTGGTGTGGTTTGCTACTTCTTTCCTATCAAACAACTATCATCTTTATCTCTCCTCCTTTTTTATGTTTGT